CAAGAAGCGGCTGGAAAAATAACCTGCGTTGGTTAGGGTCGAATCCGGTGACAAAGTCGTTGCCGTGTTCGGTGCCTCCGTATGGTTTGAGCTGGTGCAGCCGGAGGAAAAGCAAGAGGCCGGCTTGGACGAGAGGCTGCAGGTTTAATTGCTGTTGCAGGCAACATTTGTCCTCTCCGAGAGGCTGCTGGGCTGTTGCAGGGAGCGACGCGGCGTTGCTTAACCCCGTCTCGCCCCGCCCTGACGGAATTGTTCTTCTCTAGTTCCATGACAAGATTGAGCCCATGCTGGAGACGCTGGAGAGCCTCTCGTCCCGCCTGCGCATGCCGCCCCTCATCCCCGCCGAGGTCGAGAAGATCCGGGAGTGCATCAGCGAGAACAAAAACGCCGCCGTGGAGCTGGAGAAGCTGCAGCCTTCCTTCGAGGCTCTGAAACGCCGCGGGGAAGAGCTGATCGGCCGATCGCAGGGAACGGACAAGGACCTGGCAGCAAAAGGTATCTGCGGGTGGATTGAACGGGAGATGGGGGCTCAGCCCCAGCTTCTCCTGCCCAGAGCACGGCTCCAGCGCTGCTGGGGAGGCTTCGATGTCCCAGGGATGTATTTTAGAGGGCCTCCTCGCTTTAGGAGGACGGGCGAGTCCTCTGGTGCCTGCTTCCATCTGGAGCAGCCAGGGTGGCATCAGCCAGAGGAGAAAGGACAATTTGTGGCTTCTCAGGCAGAGGTTTCAGCTCAGCCAAGCCCTCACCCTGAGCCGGTCCCTTGTGGCAACTGTTGGTGGCCCCGACGAAATGATTTGTTGGTGTCGATTCAGCATCTAATGGAGGGAAGGAACATCCCCAGCACAAAAAGACCCGTCAACACGATTGGCACTAATTGGCACCTTTCTTGGCAGCTCAACAGGCAGCTCATGGACTGAGTGAGCCTGGGCTTCACGCTAGAGGTGGCCAGAACAGAGGTTTTTTGGAGGAGAGTATGTGGGCAAATTTGTCCTGAGCCTCCCTGCACATAAATAAAGGCTTTATTTCTGCAAGCTGGGAGTTTCTCATGTCCCTCAGTATCTCTCAGAATGAATGCTCTGCTAGTCTTGGCCATCTTTAATGCCCATTTGAATATTCCCTTGGCTATTTCTAAGAGGATAGCATTTGCAAAACACTTTTGAGCTGTAAAAAAGTTTTCTTCTTCACTGGATGTTTTCATTCTTTTCCTCAGTAATCCAGGATAAGTTGGATCAGATGGTCTTCTTCTGGGAAGACATCAAAGCTCGGGCGGAGGAACGTGAAATGAAGTTCCTTGATGTCCTGGAGCTTGCAGAGAAGTTCTGGTATGACATGGCAGCCCTCCTGACTACCATCAAAGACACGCAGGACATCGTTCACGACCTGGAGAGCCCCGGCATTGACCCCTCCATCATCAAGCAGCAGGTGGAAGCGGCGGAGGTGAGGACCATGAGACTGTACCTCTGCCTGGAGCTTGTCTGCGCCCAGCTTGTGAGCTAAACTGGGACAGGTCTTAGATACGAGCATGGCCAGAAGTGGCTGTACAATAGTTTTGTAGGCAGTCGGTCGGATTATGGAATGTTATTTCCATTGCAATTTGAAACTGCACGGAAAAAACCAGAAATGTATTTTACATATCCCTCCCCACTGCCACCACCACCCCCTGTTCCAGACAGGGAAATGCTGCTTAAATCACTTTATCTGCTTCTGTTTTGGGAAGCTTACCAGGCGTGAGGTCAGAGTTGTGTGCCCACTTGTTTGGAGCAATGTGGAAGTTTACACGGTTCGGCTCCCAGGCTGAGGTGAAGGCATCTGAGCGCTGCCTGGCGTGGGAAGTGTCTGCTGAGATTTCGGTCAGACCAGGCAGAAGTGTAAGGCTGGATGGGCTTGGGTTTGTACACTGTCGGTTGTTTCAAATAAAGAGTGAAACCCACCTCAGATGGGGTTTGACTCAGACCTTGGGGAGCAGGGATGTTTCCTTACGCTCAGTCTGTCCTTGCTGCTTCCCTTTTACAACCATTCGCTCTCCAAATGAACTCTGGGATTTGCAAAATACTCCACAACCCTTGTGAGCGACACCTTCAGCCAGGCGGCTCAGGCACACGTCAGGCTCGACACAGATGTTCTCTTTTTAGTTCCCTCAACACCTGCACGCTGCAGCGTTGTCCCTGTGGGAGCAGAGCAGGCTGGGGACACGCTGGGGACATGCTGGTGAGCAGGAGGGCCATCTGCTCGCTGCGTAACCCCGTCCTGGGGTCTGGCGTCAGGCTGTTGGCCAGGGTGCAGGAAGGACTCTCCGTGCTTTAGCCCTCCTGTTCTTGGGGCAATTTTGGAAGGGTGTTTAATAATAAACATTTTCCTTCTGTCACAGACTATTAAAGAGGAGACGGACGGCTTGCACGAAGAGCTGGAGTTCATCCGACTCCTTGGAACTGATTTAATTTTTGCCTGTGGCGAAACTGAGAAACCAGAAGTGAAAAAGAGCATTGATGAGGTAGGAGAAACCAGCGGCCTCTCCTTCCGATAAAATCAGGTAGGAGCAAGTGGGAGCTCCAGGAGAGGAGCCTGACGGATTTTGTGGGCAATCTTGTGTTCCGCAGATGAACAACGCGTGGGAAAATCTAAACAAAACGTGGAAGGAGAGGCTTGAAAAGCTTGAAGAAGCCATGCAGTCGGCTGTGCAATACCAAGACACGCTTCAAGTAAGAGGCTGGCCTGTTTGCACGGAGTGGGTAGACCTTGGGAACAGCGAATCCTCTCCCTGCGGTCATACTGGGATTTGCACTAATGCAAAGCAGAAAACATCCCCTGGGCGAGTGTTTGCAGCCCCTGATAGAGCTTGAGCTCCACAAGCAGCTCCGAGGAAGCACAGATAGTTGGTTGCATTCATCTTCCCAATTTTCTGCATGCAGCAGCAGGCTGAGCCTGGCTGCCAGCGGGGCCCTGCGGGGGAAGACGGAGAGGGGA